TGTGATGTTTCCCCTTACATCTCTGATTTTGTTGATTTGGAGGTGCTCTTTCTTTCTTTCTTTCTTTCTTTCTTTCTTTCTTTCTTTCAGTTAACTGGGTAGGGGTCTGTCAATCTTGTTTATCTTTTTAAAGAACCAGCTCTTGGATTCCTTGATTCTTTGTATTGTTTTCTTTGTTTCAATTTCATTAATTTCTACCCTGATTTTTGTTATTTCTTCTTGTCTGCTGGGTTTGGATTTCATTTGTTGTTGCTTTTCAAGTGTCTTGAGTTGCAGTGTTCAGTCATTGATTTGTGTTCTTTCCGATTTTTTTATGTAGGCAGTTAGAGCTATAAACTTCCCTCTAAAGACAGCTTTCAGCGTGTCCCAGAGGTTTTGTTGTGTTCTATTGTGCTTGTCATTTAGTTCCAGGAATACTTTTATTTCTTTCTTAATTTCTCTTTTGACCCATTCATCATTCAGGAGTGTGTTGTTTAATCTCCATGTGTTCATGTGGTGACTAGGGCTTCTTCGGGTGTTGATTGTAAGCTTTATTGCATTGTAGTCTGATAGAATGCATGGAATTATTTCAGTCTTTTTTTATTTGTTGAGGTTTGTTTTGTGCCCCAGTAGATGGTCGATTTTGTAGAAGGTTCCGTGGGATGCCGAGTAGAAAGTATGTCCTTTGGTGCTTGGGTGGAATACTCGGTAGATGTCTGTTAGGTCCATTTGATATATAGTATTGTTTAATTCATTCAAATGTGTTAACTCTCTGCCCTGTTGACCTATCTAATCGAGACAGTGGTATAGTGAAGTCCCCTACTATTAATGAGTTGGGATTAATCTGGCTCTTAAAGTCCTGTAGTATTTTTTTTTTTTTTTTTCTTTTTTGAGACAGGGGCTCCTTGTAGCCCCAGCTGTCCTGGAACTCACTGTGTAGAACTCACAAAGACTTGTCTGCCTCTGCCTCCCAAGTGCTGGGATTAAAGGCGTGCACTACCATACCTGGCTGTAGTATTGTTTTTATGAAGTTGGGTGCACCAGAGATTGGTGAATATATGTTCATGATTGTAATATCTTCATGGTTTAGTTTTCCTTTGATCAGAATGAAGTGGCCCTGCTTATCTCTTCTGATTAGTTTTAGTTTAAAAGCATTTTGTCAGATATTAGGATTGCTATGCCTGCAATTCTTACTATTCACTTGGTATATTTTTTTCAAAAGATGGGTTTTGCCTCTCAATCTATTCACCCAGTCCATGTCTTTTGACTGGGGAGTTCAGTCCATTAATATTTAAAATTATTAATGAAAGATGAGTATTGAATCCTGTCATTTTTATTTCTATTTACATTCGTGATGTAGTTGTACTTTTTCACATTTATACCTTCATGGAATTTCTTTCCACAACCCCTTTGGTATAGTCATTCCTTTCTTCAGCTCTTTGTATTGCTTCCAGAACTCTCTGATGGGCTGGGTTTGTGGACATGATTTCCTTCAGCCTACGTACGTCAGGGAAGGTTTTTCTTTCCCCTTTGACTTTACTAGACATTTTGACTGGGTACAGCAATCTAGGTTGGCATCTGTGGTTATTTAAAACTGGGAATACTTTGGTCCAGGCTCTTCTGGCTTTCATAGTTTGCACTGAAAAGTCAGCTGCAATCCTAATGGGTTTTCCTTTATAAGTGACTTGTTGTTTCTCTTTTGTAGCTTTCACTATTGTCTCTTTGTTTTGTACGTTTGTTGATTTCACTGTGATGTGCCATGGAGAGTTTCTTTCCTGGTCCTGTCTGTTTGGTGTTCTATATACTTCTTGTATTTGTATGGGCATGTCTTTCTTTATTTGGGGGGAATTTTCTCCCATGATTCTGTTGAAGATCTGGTCCATGCCATTATCTTGGGATTCTTCTCCTTCCTGTATGCCTATGATTCATAAGTTTGGTCTTTTTGTGGTGTCACACAATTCCTGCATATTCCATTCTTGTGCTTTCTTAAATTTTCATAATCTTTGCTTGATTGGTCTAGTTCGTCCACTTGATCTTCCAGAATTGATACTCTGTTTTCCATTTCATCCTATTGGTGAGGATTTCTCCTGTCGTTTCTAATTGGCTTACTGAGTGTTTCACTTCCTTCTTCATTTCAGCCTGAATTGAAGACTTTCAATATTTCTCGCTCTTTTCTGAATTCATTCAGAAGTTTATCCCTATCTTCCTTCAGTTCTTTGATTTCTTTGTGTGTTCTTTAAATTCACTGCATTCTTTTATCATGTTTATAATTGTTCTTTTGAGTTCCATGTCCTTCATTATCTCTAGGGGGTTCTCACTGTACTCCTCTAGAGGACTATTGGTATTTGGTGGGGATATGTTATTTTGGTTTTTCATGTTGTTATTTTTTTTCTTCTGTGACTTTGACACGTGAATTTCTTTTGTAGTTTCTGATTCTTGCGTGATACTCAAGCCTTCAAGTTTAGGTCTGCTTCTTTTTGTAAACTTATATGCCTTTGTGGTTTACTTTTTGGGCATGAAAAGTTGGTTCATCTAAGCTTCTGGTTCTCTCTTTTGATTTTATATTGGAGTGGCCAGATTGCGTTTGTCTTCAGGAATTCCCACAGAGGCCCAGGTCAGATGAGGATCAGATGCTCTCAGGCTTTCTCCTAAGGTCTGCATACCTCCAGGAAAGATGTTGTCCTCAGGAATTTGGGGGTTGGACTGGCCTGGGACCTGAGCCCAGAAAAGATGCTGGTCTTAGGCAGCTGATGGCCATCCACCCAGACATGCAAAGGGAGATGGGGCCAGGAAGAGGCCCCAAAGACTTCTGGGGACTGCAGGGAGGAACTGGGTTGGTCTGGATGCAAAGGATCAGGAAGCGGAGAGGTCAGCCCCCTGTCCAGGAAAGAGGCTGGTGGGTTGTACAGCCCAGGGAAGCAGAAGGAGGTGAGGGCAGGACCAGGCTCAGAGGGCTCCTGGGACCGAGAGAAGTAACTGGGTTGGTCTGGATGCAAAGGATCAGGAAGCAGTGGTGGTTCCCCAAGTGTCTGGGGCACCAAGACAAGGAATGGGACAGAATGAGGCTGGGGGAGTCAAGGCACAGAGGGCATGCTGGACTCACCCAGGAGAG